ATGGGTGCCGTCAGAATGAGAGTCCAAACAGCTGATAAAAACATCACAATAATCCACAAGTAATCCACACCACTCCAGTCCATCAGTTAAAGCATTTTTAACTTCAAACCACAGACATATTTGATTAGAACTCTTTTCACTTGTAAATGGTGCTTAATCTGTGCATATTTCTCTCCTGATACAGAAGAGACGACTTTTCACTGTAGAAAGTAATATTATGGATAGAGGACTCAGAAACAACGACGAACAAGATGTTAACTGATGGACTGGAGTGGTGTGGATTACTGGTGAATTATTGTGATGTTTTTATTAGCTGTTTGGACTCTCATTCTGACGGCACCCATTCACTGCAGAGGATCCATTGGTGAGCGAGTGATGTAATGCTACATTTCTCCAAATCTGTTCTGATGAAGAAACAAAATCTACATCCTGGATGGCCTGAGGGTGAGTAAAAATGTTAGCAAATTGTCATTTTTGAGTGTATATAAAATATGCATGAATACATAATCTTACACACTTCATTTCTTAAATATAAAATGTTATAATTGAAAAATATACAAAAAATACAAATATATAGAATAAGCATTAAATAAACTCTTTAATGGATGAGTGGCTCTTGTCAAAGTTAAATCACAAATGCACTAGCAGACAGGAAATGACATACACTCTCATTCTGGAAAGGGTTGAGGAAATTTCCGCCAATTTCGCCATCATCTCGAGGAGTTCCAGGCTGGTTGCTCATGCTTAGGTTACCAGGAGAGTTCTGTACAGATAGATAGTGTGATTTTTCAGTCCAATAAGGTTTGTGGATGACCCAACTTGTGTCAATTTACACATTTAAATAATAATAATTATAATAAAAGCTGAACTTTTGACAAGACAAGAAAAAGCGGCCAAAAATGCCCATCTATCATCATGTAATGAATTTGATTAAAATATTTAATAAATTGACAGTCCTAATTATAATGTGAAACAACAACTCTTACCTTGGACATACTGTCCATGTCAGCTGACCCTAAAGAAATAAAAATACAGATTTCTGATATTAAATTATATTGTAGATGTATAGCTGCAAAGGTAGTACTTTTAAAATGCGTGATTAATCTTCAATGACCACAAGGTGGCATAATCATGCAAGGCAAAAAATGACAACAAATCAGTAAATCAAGCATGAAAGCTGCAATTTCACATTGAATTATGACATGCTTTGATATTCTCCAAGCAAAGTAAGTAGACAGCACTCAAAGACGTCCAAGAGTACGTTCTAAAGTGGTTGTTTGTATTAGAGACGCTCTTACCTAATGATCCATTCATGTGATGAGGCTCCATTCCTGCCATGCTGCCCATTGGACCATCTCCACCGGGACCAATAGGGAACTGTCAAACACACACAAACAAACAAACACACACACGGCTCATATAATGTTATTATAAAAACTACAGAGCAGAAAGTTTTGTCAGTAAAAACAGAATGAACAAATGCAACTCAATGTGAACTGAGATGCATGTGTAAATATTTTAAGCTCATCATGCTCTCTTACATTTTGCCTGTTTCCTCCGGGCGGCACTGTGTTGATCAGAGTGTACATATTTTCTCCCGAGTTTGTCGAGTCTGTAGAGGAAGAGCCAAACACACAAGCTCATCAAAAACATTTTAGCTAATGCTCAACTGATATGGTTGGAAAAAGTATTTGGACACTTAAGTAAGTATGTAAGTACATAAATATTTCTAAATCTTACAAAATAAAAAATTATTAAAAGAAATAAAAATAAAATAAAATGATATACATATATAAATAAACCCTCAAAAATATTTTAAATACAAAAACATTTATTGTTATAATAGAAAATGTTATATTTTTGAAATAAAATAATATGCAAATGGTATAATTTAAAAATATATAATACTTAAATATATATAAATTAACATCGTAAACACTTAAACGTTATTTAAATATAAGAATGTATTGTTATAAATGACTAATTATTTAAAAAATTAAATTATATACATGTATATAAATAAAACACTCAAAAAAATGTTTTTAAATATAAAAACATTTTATTGCTATATTTAAAAAAATCTAACATTTTAAATAAAAATGTTATTGTTAAAGTTATAATATAAAAAATTGTATCAGTATAATTCAAAAATATACTTAAACTAAAAAAATGTGTATATATATATATATATATATATGTGTGTGTGTGTGTGTGTGTGTGTGTGTGAAACAGGAAGTGTGTGACTCCTCAGGGACAGTGTGTGTGTGTGTGAAATTTTTTTTTATGATATATAATTTTATTTTATTTTTTCCTCTCAATATATCGGTCCATAATTAAATTTAACTATGCATGAAAAGCCATCTTCTGCAGTCCTACCTGCAGGGCTAGGCATGATAGGAGTCCCCGGGGGCCCTCCTCCTCCGGGTGGACCCTGAGAAAGAGAAGACAAATGTGGTTCTGAATCTCATGTAACACACAATAATTAGTTATATTTGCATGCACTTGTGCTACGTACAGGTGTAAATGTGAGGACAGTCCTGTGTGTGTGTGTGTGTGTGTGTGGCTCATGACAGAGGCCTGAGGCCCTTGCTGTGGTCAGCACTGTGCATATCTGCTTCATCCTCCCTCTTCCCAAATCTAATTATCTCTCCTCCTCTCTGCTGACTCGGCTCTGCTTTCCCGAGCAGCTCGTCTTGTCTGGCTGCTTTCAGTAAGCTACCACAGCTTCCCTTCCACAAATCATCTCAGCAGGGAGTTACTGACATCGGTTTAACAGAATATCTTGTGTAAATGTCTTAAAATGATGTGTTTAGTCACACTGGGTATCTCAAATGTGCTTCAGTGTATCTGGCAGTGTCTAGTTGTGTGAAGGACTTTCATTTGATATTTCACCAGATTTTTAGACGTCTTTCTACAAGCTATATGCCTCATTTAAGCAAATATACATATTTAATATATTACATAATATATTACTATATCGAGTACAAATATCTAAACATTCTTAAATCAAGATACATTTGCTATAGAAGCAAAATGACTTGATATTAAATCTTGTTTTTTGAGGAATCTATCAAAATTAAGTGAGTTTATGCTTAAAAAAATAAACACAATTCAAAGGGAAAAGCTTTTTTTCTGACCTCATTGGCAGATAATTATTCTTGTTTTAAACAAAAATTCACTTACTTTTGATCTTTTTTTTTTCATAAAACAACACTTAAAATCATATGCCATTTTGCATCTCATATAAACTGATCTACAAAATACTATTTCAGTCTTTCTACTAAAATTATTATAATAAATGTTTCTCGAGCAGCAAATCAGCATATTAGAATGATTTCTGAAGGATCATGTGACACTGAAGACTGGAGTAATGATGCTGAAAATTCAGCTTTGCATCACAGGAATAAATTACATTTTAAAATATATTACAATAGAAAACAGCTCTTTTAAATTGCAATAATATTTCACAATTTTACTGTTTTTACTGTATTTTTGGTCAAATAGATGAAGCCTTGGTGAGTAGAAGAGCCTTCTTTCAATAACAAAAAAATCTTCATTATACCAAACTTTTGAAAGTACAGTACTGTATTAAATATCTTCTAGTAATGACTAGTAACAACATTAATTGGTTCCACTAATGAGGACGCAGAACTATCTGTGATTTGATGCATGTCTAACAGCTGGACGTGAACATTCATGGCTGTTGTAAATGGAGAAGCTCACAGCACTTACCACATAACTCCCTGGAGATGCCGAGGAGTAAGCGATCTTAAATGCCACGTGGATCCGATCAGACAGAAAAAAACAGAGAGAAGGTCAACGAATCAGATGCTCTTCAAGTGCAAACATTTACCTACAGCTGTAGTGGCTGACATTTCACAACGACTGATTGGAGAAATGACTCACTGAGTTGGAATTTGGTGGATTTGGCCACGGTCTTCCTCCGGGACCCCTAGATTAGGACCAGACGTGTTGTACTCATTGACTATTTTAAGGCTATAGTAGGAAATAATCTTTTTTGTCAGGCAAGTACTTGTTAGTGTAGCAAGAAGTACGTACATATTCATCCCAGGCATCCCAGGACCCCCAAGAGCATTGAGTGGTGGTCTCATGCCTCCTCCATATGCCTGGAATGAGAGAAAGTAATGTAGTAAAGTGTCTGTGCACAGAGTTTAGATGAGCGATCCAAACATACGGGTGTGATGGATTGTACCTGTGGCCCAAGAGGTACCATCCCTCTGGGCGGAGTCATTCTCTGCATAGCCCCGCCCATATTTGGATGACCTGTCCAATCAAATGATCAGATAGAAATTAGTGGTAAATGCATTAGGTGAATCCAATATTCTAATACAATAAGAAACAAAACAATTTTTATTTGTAAAAACAAATAATAAAAAATTAATATTTCACCCCCTCAAAAAATAATATATGGTACTAAATATATTTTAATATAATAATAATTTTATATATATATATATTTTTTTTTAATTTTATTTTTATTTTTTTTATTACAATATAGTTTGAAATAGTAATAATAATAATGTACATTTAATATGGTAATATTAAATATACATTATTATTATTATTATTATAGTAATATACATATTAGAATAATAAAAGTGGATCTTTAACATGATAGTATAAATGACCTATTTTTTATTTAGGATCATAATATTTTCATGACAATTAACCATCAATCAGTCGTTATCATTACTATAACATGAAAAATATACATTAAAATGTATTTAAACAGCATGGAAACCTACCTATATTCAAGTGTTGATAAAAAAAAGAATGCTTTAAGCTATAATAAAACTGATTTTTTTTGTTTAAAAGTAGAGGCTCTGATCTTTATTTTGGTGTATTGCATATTCAAATATTCATACAGCAAAATATACTGGAGGCCATCAAATTTGAGTGAAAATCATAATGCAGTCTCCTTACTGTTTTTCCCTGACACATTCATAATCATTCATTACTTCTGCTGGTGCACTGTGGCAAGCTTTATGCATGTGCTTGAGCGCTTATTAGGCTATGTAGGCAATTAAAGGCTCATTATAATGATTTAAATGGTTTATTAATAAACGTGCGATTAGTCGACTAATGCTTGAACGACTGAACGACTACTAGTCGACCAGAAAAATCCTTAGTCGAGGGCAGCCCTAGAGAGATCAAAACATACGGGTGTGATGGTCATACCTGTGGCCCAAGGGGTACCATCCCTCTGGGCGGAGTCATTCTCTGCATAGCCCCGCCCATATTTGGATGACCTGTCCAATCAAATGATCAGATGGAAACGAGTGGTAAATGCATTAGTTGAATCTCATGAAAGCGGTCAAGAAATGCCCAAAAAAATTTAAAAATAAATAACATATATATATATATATTGAATTCATGTTGTCAATTTACATTTCTATTACAAGATATTTTGACATAATATTAATAATGTGCATTTAATATGGTAATATTAAATATTCACTATTACTATAGTAATATACATATTAGAATAATAAAAGTGGATATTTAATATAGAATAATATATAATATATAAATGACCTATTTTTATTTAGGATCATAATATTTTCATGACAATTAACCATCAAGCAATTGCTCTCATTATTATAACATGAAACAAAACAACATTATTATTTAATTTATGATGATTAAAAAATAAAACTTGTCCAGACTTGATTTTCATTACTGAATTACCATAATGAGAATGAGATTTTTTTCGCATTACGATAATTAGAATTCTGGGGGAAAAGTGCTTAATTGTTATGAAAAGAATGTCATCATGGAAAAAAATGGTCCTAAAATAGGCTTCATTTTCTCTTTTCAAAATATCATTTATTTTTCATTTTGATTCAGGTGTTAAATATAACCCAAACATTTCTTTGTGAAATTCCCCTTATAAGATGGTTTAATTAAGTATTTGCAAGCAAACCTTGTTGTCTCGATGGGTCCATACCACTGGGTAATAGCGGCTGGTTTCCAGGGACTCCACCTAACGCCTGAACCAGTAAGATACAGTACAAATGAACAAATTAATTTACTCTTGTCAACATCTTCCAAGCAGGAGTAAATGAGGCCCATTAGGTGCCCTTGGGCTATGACATTAGATCAGGACCCAAAATATCACATTCATGCGACTGAGACAGTCTGACTGGAAATAAAATGTGTAGCCTTAAGCGACAGGAAGGGGGAAAAAAACACATTATTCAACTGGGAAATATTAGTCTTGTCTAAAAGTCTATTAGACAAGACTAAAATAAAACATTTAAAGCTCTAATCACTCCATTATGAGTTTATATTTCTGTATCGAGTTGTCATTGTGTATTAAAATAAAACTGAAATGGAAAGGCACCTGGTTGGGTATTCTCAGAGGAGGTCTGGGGCCGCCAGGATAACGCGATGACATGAAAGGCTAAAAAAAAAAGAAGAGATACCACGTGAAATCAGCAACTTCGTACTCTAAAGTCAGCATAAAATCAAAATTGAGTAACATTCCTCTAACAGTGACTAAAGCACCATCTAGATAGCCAGCAGTGACCATACTGACCTGTAGTATTTGTTAAGATCAGTACACACAGTGATCTAGCTTTACTTCAGCTCTGGGGGCATTTACTTAAAGGAACACGCCATTATTTTTGAAAATAGGCTCATTTTCCAACTCCCCTAGAAAAGACTCGGGAGAACAGAAAACAATTATTTCCAAGCATCCAACCGAACGAGGCCATTTCCACCTCCACATCTTAGGTAAGATTAAGAAAAAACCCTTGATGACAAAATAAACATAATACATGTATCTAAGACGAGAAGGCTGCAGAAAACATCCCTATTTACACTACAGATCAAACTTTCCCGTCGGTAAGATTTTTTAATCTTATGCAAACATACAGTAAAAACTGAAATATTGTGAAATATTAATACAATTTAAAAGTTTTCTCTATTTGAATATATTTTAAAATGTAATTTCTTACTGTGATCGCATAGCCAAATTTTCAGCATCATTACTCCAGTCTTCAGTGTCACGTGATCCTTCAGAAATCAATCTAATATGCTGATTTGCTGCTCAAGAAACATTTGTTGAAAACAGTCATGCTGCTTAATATTTTTGTGGAAACCATGATGCTTTTTTTCAGGATTCTTTGTTGAATAAAAAGTTCAAAAGGACAGCATTTATTTGAAATAGAAATCGTTTGTAACAATATAAATGTTTTCACTGATACTTTTAGACATACTTTTATACACACATTCTGTATGTGCATTCTCAAATTAAATGCAGCGATCCAAAACAGTGAATCTAAATCAGCACTAATCAGTTTGCTTCAAGAATGACCACAATGCTGACGTGATCTTATTGCTAGCACACACTGAGCACAGGTGAGTTACTTGTCTTATCGGCAAGACATATCGACATCATTTTACATATCAGGCCAATGCTGATATTTGCATTTTAAGCCTTTTATCGGCCAATTCCGATAACGTTCCGATAATATTGTGCATCTGTAATATATATATAT